AATGAATTATATGATTATGGTGTCAAAGAAATAGAAAGTGCTTTTCGGTAAGTTGATATTTCCAAAAATGTCTGAACGGTTTGTGAGATACAAATGTTTTCGTGAATTATTATGGAGGTAATTACGTTTAGAAAGATTGACATATCTCGAAAAGTGTGATGAATACATTGACAACAAGAGTTATTTATGTATCAAGGACGAAACACTGTCTATTATAGTCGAGGCTTTGACGAGGCTAGCAATCAGGCGAGACAATAATAGACAGTTTTTCAACCGAGTTGCATATTACATTTTTCGTCGACCACGAACACTTATATCAACATCACGGTCCTCTTTACAAGTGAATAATTAATTTGACAGCAGCAAATGACAGTTGTTGTCAACTCACTCTCCGCGCGGACCAGGGTTACCAGTTCAATTTCCATTCTATCAGTGAATACCTTGTCGAAAATTCAGTAGATTTCAATAGATATGTTCAAGATCTATTTTATGCTACACGAATTCCAAGAAATAAAATGCGGGAAGACAGCTAGAGTCCGACCAATCCCCAAAAAAGGGAACAAGAACCTGCCCAACAACTACAGGCCCATTGCCCTGTTATCAGTAATCTCCACAGTGATGGAGAAAGCCATCGATATTGAGCTTACCAAATATCTGGAGAGCTCAGGAATCATCAATGATAGACAATACGGCTTTCGCCACCAAAGATGTACTGGAGATCTACTTGCCTACGTCACCCATTTATGGCAAGCTTCATTAGAAAAACACGGGGAATCTCTAGCTGTCGCGTCGGACATATCGAAAGCATTCGACCGTGTTTGGCACGGAGGACTCCTCCACAAACTACCATCATACGGCTTACCACCTCAGCTATGCCATCACTTATGGAGTTTTCTTTCAGGCAGATCGCTTCATGTGGTGGTGGACGGCGGTGTATCGTCTGATACCATTGGCATCAATTCCGGCGTTCCACAAGGATCAATTTTGGCACCAACATTATTCCTTCTTCATATCAATGATCTGTTGGGAGTAACAACTTGCCCCATCCACAGCTTTGCAGATGATAGTACCCTCCATACTGCGTTCTCTTTCAGAATTCCCATTTCTTCCCAGGGAACTAAGAACTCACGGCGCAGGCAGGTCAATGCTGTCAATGAGGACCTTGCTGAAATCACAGCCTGGGAAACCAACAACCTAGTTGAATTCAACGCCACCAAAACTCAAGCCTGTATTTTCTCTAGAAAGGCGGAACTCAGTATGCCCGATATTGTAATGTCTGGCACCACCATCCCCACCAAGCCCACCATATATATGCTCGGTATTTCCATCAGCAACACTCTTTCATGGGATAATCATGTCAGATCCATCGCAAAAGCTGGTTCATAAAAACTCGGATTCTTGTTCCGTGCCAAAAGCTACTTCACACCTCAACAGCTTCTCATGATCTACGAAGCGCAGATACGGCCTGTTCTAGAATACTGTTCCCACATATGGGGTTCAGCACCAGAACATACGCTGATGCTCTAAGATTCGATCCAGAGAAGAGCCATTCGCCTGGTGGGTGACGCCACACTCACTCACTCTTTGACATCATTGGAACACCGTAGGAAGGTCGGCGACCTTTCACTTTTTTATCGATACCTCCACGGGAAGTGTTCTTCGGAAATCTCTGGTATCATCCCTTCGCTAGTAATACCAATCAGACGAACTAGACAAGCCCAGTCAGCACATCCTTTCGTTGTCAACCTCGAAAGAGAGAAAACTCCTTCATCCATAGAACGGCTAGGCTCTGGAATTCATTACCTGAAGAAGTATTTCCAACAACATATAATCTCCAGAAGTTAAAAAAAAACACAATACCTACCTCCTGTCCTCATCCTCCTTAGAAACGGACGACAGTTTTCAATTGACAGTCATAGTATAGTCAAAATCGTTCCTTTTGGTCTACAATTCTTTCCTCTTGGGCTGATGCTTTTATAGGCTCACTTCGTGATAAAACCTATATCTTGAAAAATAAAATAAAATCACACCACCATCAGTCACCACTGCTCAAACGCCCATATCCTCACATCCACCCCCAATAACTCTTAAATACCGCAGCGATTAGCACGTCTTTAGCGAGCCCTTCGCCACCTAATTCCGGGCTGATTTATTGCAGACGTGGCCCTTCAGCTTCCAGAAGGCCAAGACGGCGCACCAGGCGACAGGGCCGGACTGCCCCGAAGGGCCCCTTCTCTAGGACTAGGAATAATTCAATAAAATTCCCATGTTTACATTTTAATTCAACACGAACTTCTGGTTTTTACCACGCTTTTATTGGCTTTTAGTATGTACTTATGTTTGTTTGTGTATTAGTATTTTTGTATGACCGGAATCTTCGAACGTGATTTTGACCCACTCCAAACTTCGCACTCTCATCGAGGTTCGATCCTAGCACCAACACTATTTCTACTCCATATCAACGATTTGTTGAAAGCAACTTCATGTCCAGTACACAGCTTCGCGGATGATAGTACCCTCCATACCGCCTTTATTTCCAGAGCTCCACTACCAGCCAGGCAAATCAGAAACGAACGAGGGAGAAATGTTGACAACATAAATATGGACTTGGCAATAATTCTCGAATGGGGATCCAATAACTTGGTAGATTTCAATGCAAACAAAACACAAGCATGACTTTTCTCTAGAAAAGCCGATCTCACTGTGCCCAACATAAGCTTGTCAGGAGTAACCATACCTTTGAAGACATTCATTTCGATGCCTGGTATTACTATCAGCGATAACCTTTCTTGGGAAAATCACGTGAGATCAATTGCTAAAAGTGCATCCCAAAAACTTGGTTTTCTGTTTCGGGCCAGAAGCTTTTTCACTTCCAGTCAGCTGCTTATGATCTATAAGGCACAGATATCCGACCTGTCCTGGAATACTGTTCCCATATTTGGAGTGCAGCACCCAAACATACCCTGAAAGTGTTGGATTCTGTCCAAAAAAGGGCAATTCGTCTCGTGGGTGATGCCTCGCTCACAAACTCACTTACTTCTCTGGAACGCCGTAGAAAAGTTGGCGATCTGGCTCTATTTTATAGAAATTTTCATGGACGATGCTCTTCTGAAATATCAACGATTGTTCCTCCCTTGACAGTCCCCGCGAGATCAACCCGTCGAATTGAGGCTTCGCACCCCTTCGTGGTCACTTTGGAGACCTGCAGAACATCTTCTTCCAAAGATTCGTTCATCCAACGAACAGGGAGGCTCTGGAACACTTTTCCAAGGGAGGTGTTCCCTGAGACATACAACCTCCAGAAATTCAAGAAGACCAATGCCTACCTTATTTTCCTTGGTTCTCACGATGTTCTCTGAACATTACAGGATATCCCTTTTCGTGGGAACCTGAACATGAAAATAAACAATGAACTACCGGGAAGTTATTGACCCAATGCTTTCTTTGCTGGGGAAATATGACTTCAACGGCAAAAATCTGTTGGCCTTTCACATTCTTGCAGTTACTTTACCAGTGGAGCAAATATGTATTGGACCTTCATAGTTTCATTGACTTTAATGTTGCCGGGAAAGACAACAACTTTGTTTACTCGATCTTCAAGAAGGTCACTGCTGGGCTTTCAACCATACCTATATATGTTCCAGATAAACAATAATTTTGGTCATGAGTAAAGTACGTATTCCTACAATACCTATCGGTTTATATTTCTTCAGTAGATATTATCTTTATTATTTAAAATAAGAATGACAAATCATAAGATTCATGAACATTATTCACAAAATTGTATGTACACTGATTCCCTCCCATTTCCTGTAAGAGTGAGCGAGCCAATATCATACACATTCATTAGTACGACAGAGAAAGCATTATATTGTCTACCCGCATGATGGAACTGAACTACAGGGTGTAACAGAACAACGTACATTAAATTCAACAGGGTGAACTAGAGTTCAAAATAGGTCGATTGGGACCACCTTACCTCTGTACGAAAATGCACCGTTGGGCCGTGAGAGGGCGATGAATGGAATTTTTTTCCCAGATTTTATTGAATATTTCAAAATCCTTGTGAGGTAATGATCTGAAATTTGGAAGACAGTCAACTATAAAAAGTGTGCATAGATAACAGGTCTCATCAGTTCAATCGATATACAGGAAGATACAAATTTAGCATTCTTATTGGAGAAAATCCATAGAACTTTTCTTGAGTACGCCACTGACAATATTTCAATATCTACTTGAATAACAAAATCAATTATCTATCTTTGTTCTCACTACATTTCTTCCTTTATTTTGCTTGTTTTACGAGATATCTGTAAAAATTCTTTCGGGTCACGTATTCATGTTATAGTTATTTATGTATTAAGGGAATTATGAGGGCCTTAATTACCGATGGCAAAGTTTTGCGTCCCGAGGGCCTCTGGCCCGAGGGACAGCAATTGCCTGAGGTTATTGAGGCTCAGTAATTCCCGTGATACATAGATAATTTAATTTCTGACTGATTTCATTCATTAGATACCTACCCGATTGGAAGTTAGACATGTTTTTCCGTATAGTTTCAATGTCATCAGAACGTCAGATGATGATCTTGACTACCGCGAATAGGAGATTCCTTATTGCTACGTTACTGCGTGGTTGTTGCTATGCATTTCTTATTTAATTTTATTTAGAGGGAATTATAGCATCTATAACATCCCAAGGGAGTTATGACCCTCATAATAGATATCGTAACTATGACGATATAAGCTTATAATGTCACTGTCAGAAATAAATTATTTAATAACCTCTTCATCATACAGGATGGTACGCAGGGCAGTATTTACAAAAAATAGAGAGAAAACTAGAAAAACACGCTTTTGTATTCAGCTGAACCTAAAAATAGAAAAATATAGTAGTTTGAAAAACTTGAAAAACACGCTTTTATAAATAGCCAAACTGAAAAGAAGTAGAAAATAAATGTGTATATGTGTATAATTATATAATTCTCCGCTGATTTATTGCAGACGTGGCCCTTCAGCTTCCAGAAGGCGGAGACAGCGCACCCGGCGACAGGACCGGACTGCCCCGAAGGGCCCCTGCTCTGGGACCAGGAGGGCCTCTGCCAGCAGCAGCACTCCAGGTCGAGCGGGTCGGTGGCGGATCACGAGATGGCTTATTATTTCTGAGTACGACTCAGTGGGGCCCCTTTTCCTCATCTAATAAGGATATTCATCAGTGCCCGTCTACACCTTTCCCAGATGTATTTCAGAAAGCGTCAATCTAATTTTAGAATAGTCACTTGTATTTCAGGAAGCGTCAATTGTTTTTCAGAATAGTCGTTTGTATTTCAGAAAGCATCAATTATTGTATTTCAGAATAGTCAATTCAATTCCAGAAACCGTCAATTAAATGTCAAAATAATCAATTCAATTTCAGGAAGCATCAATTGTATTTCAGAATAGTCACTTGTATTTCAGAAAGCGTCAATTGTATTTCAGAATAGTCAATTCAATTTCAAAAAGCGTCAAATGTATTTCAGAATAGTCACTTATATTTCAGAAAGCATCAATTGTATTTCAGAATAGTCAATTCAATTCCAGAAAGCGTCAATTGAATTTGAGAATAATCAATTCAATTTCAGAAAGCATCAATTGTATTTCGGAATAGTCAATTGAATTTCAGAAAGTGTCAATTGTATTTCAGACAGTATCATTTGAATTTCAGAAAGCGTCAATTGCATTTCAGAATGCATCAATTGTATTTCAGAATAGTCAATTCAATTCCAGAAAGCGTCAATTGAATTTCAGAATAATCAATTTAATTTCAGAAAACATTAATTGTATTTCGGAATAGTCAATTGAATTTCAGAAAGTGTCAATTGTATTTCAGACAGTATCATTTGAATTTCAGAAAGCGTCAATTGCATTTCAGAATGCATCAATTGTATTTCAGAATAGTCAATTCAATTCCAGAAAGCGTCAATTGAATTTCAGAATAATCAATTCAATTTCAGAAAGCATCAATTGTATTTCGGAATAGTCAATTGAATTTCAGAATAGTCAATTCAATTCCAGAAAGCGTCAATTGAATTTGAGAATAATCAATTCAATTTCAGAAAGCATTAATTGTATTTCGGAATAGTCAATTCAGTTCCAGAAAGCGTCAATTGAATTTCAGAATAATCAATTCAATTTCAGAAAGCATTAATTGTATTTCGGAATAGTCAATTGAATTTCAGAAAGTGTCAATTGTATTTCAGAAACTATCATTTGAATTTCAGAAAGCGTCAATTGCATTTCAGAATGCATCAATTGTATTTCAGAATAGTCAATTGAATTTCAGAAATCGTTCTCTATAGACTGAAAGCCAGCGACCGTCAGACTTCCTTTCAACAAGGTTGATATTTACTATGTGTGTTTCACCTTATTCGGTGGAATCGTTTTGGGGGTTGAAAATCTTGAGTACCCGAAGGGCTTTCAAGAGATACCGAGTGTTGAAAGTATACAAAAAAACTGACAAAAACATCATTTCAACAAAAGCTGATTTTTTTATGTTCAATCGGACCCTATCATGAAAGAGAATATACAATTGCCAGACACTTGTTGGTGTTCTCCTGCCAGACAACTTTGAAACTCGTGAAAATATCATGACATTTACGTCATAGCAACAGAGCTCAATTTTGTGAATGTTATTAAGAAGCCTATTTAACAGTATCATTCAAACAGCCAGTCACTTCCGATCGGACAAACATAAAAATCAGAACTTTTTCAAAGCAATAGAAATAAGTTCATCTATGATGGTCCCCTATACCTGAAATTCTGTAATCTGTTCATCAAATAGTATAGGTACGTTACCTAAAGGTACCTAAAAAAGGAATTTGGGGAGATTAAATTGAAAACATCACTACAGGAAGCACTGAACATCCTATGAATGGGCTTATATCACGAACAATTTTCATTTCATAATTCGATAGAACTCACTCAAACTAGCTCACCACCGCAAACCGTTTTTCGGACCTCTGAAAACGAGGCGATGATGTGACGTCAAAACCCTAATACTGAAACAAGACTATTACAGACAGAGATGAATGATACCTACATGATTTCTGACAGAGTGAATTAGCGCGAGATCACTGTTGAAAGAATTAATATATCAGTTGCCTCAGTCTCCGTCAGGCGTTTGGTATTTTCTTTCAACTATGGCGAGATGAGGTTTCTACGTCATAAGAGGGTCCGTTTTCAGAAGGTACTATTATTTATGTCCAAAAATAAAACATTCCAGTCAATTTTTCGATCGAATTATGTCGTCAATCATTATTTATGTATAAAAGGATCATTATAAACAAAGTTTGAGTTATAAGTTCTACTAAGGTGTACACGCCCATTCTTACATGGAGTGCACTTTCTACTAACTAATCGATTTTGATGCTTTCTGAAATTCAATTGACGCTTTCTGAAATTCAAATATTTTCCGAAATACGAATGACGCTTTCTGAAATTCAATTGACTATTCTTAAATACAATTGACGCTTTCTGAAATACAAGTGACTATTTTGAAATACAATTGACCCTTTCTGAAATTCAATTGACTATTCTGAAATACAATTGATGCTTTCTGAAATTGAATTGACTATTCTGAAATACAATTGACCCTTTCTGAAATCAAATTGACTATTCTGAAATGCAATTGACGCTTTCTGAAATACAATTGACTATTCTGAAATACAATTGACGCTTTCTGAAATACATCTGAAAAAGGTGTAGACTGTAGAGTCTGTTCTCCCCCTACTAATTTTCGAACCACCTGGTATATCGCAACGGAATTTATGGGGCTACTTTTTTTATGAAAAAATTACAGCTGGAAGGTCTGAAATGGCGGCTTGAATAATTTTTTTTGAATGGATAACACCCTGTACACTGAACAGTATTGAAAAGGAATATTCATTTAGAATTCGCATTCTCTATGTGATGAAAATATCAATTCTTTCTCGGTTTATTCAACAGAAAACAACTACTCTCATGGCTATTATCCACGTCGAACATTGAATTATATCTGTTGAACATCCAAAAAGAGAACATGAAATCCTCTGAAATTGAGAATTGACATTATTTCTCAAATCATATTATGATGTATTATGATATAAAAATATAACTTACCAATATGTTCAGTATTGAAATGAAAATTGAAATGTATAATATAGGAGAAGTATACTTGTATAAACACTGATCTTGATGAGCTTGGAACTCTCAAAAAAATCATCAATTCAGAATTTCTATCCTCGCCCTGTATGATGAAAACCCCGTACAGTATTCCATTTTTGAAATCTCTACTCATAATTTTTGTCAGTTTTATCCAATTCACTTTACTGCTAAATGTAATAGTGTTAGAAATAACAACTTTTCAAAAGTGACACTTTTGTCATTTCAAACTGAGATTTTCAAACCCAATCGAAAATTCGAATGTTGCTTCCAATCAAGTTTGCTCTGGAAAAAATCGGTGTCGCTGTACATCTTGTTGCCTATCGAATTTGACTTGATTGAAAGCAACATTCCAGTTTCTTCGTTTGAGTTTGAAATGACCAAAATGTTACTTTTCATATGTCAATTTTATTTCAGAAGCTTTTGATTTAGAAATGAAGTATAGTAGTAAGTAGGTACCTAAACAGGGTGAGTCTTGGGACATAGGCTATAAGGGTGGATTTTTTGGACCGCAATATGGCGATAGGATCAAATATGACTCAGTAAAATATTGCTGCGGAAAAAGATACAGGGCGTTAACAGATGAAATATCCAATAAGTATAAGGAAGCTTTGGGAATGAAATGAATATATTGTTCCGCTCGGGCGCCATTTTAAAACTTTTAGCTTCTATTTTTCAATGAAACAAGAAGATTTTTCATCTCCTATTCAAGCCCATGTACCAATTTACGTTGCAATATACCAATTCTGTTAGTTTGAATATATGGAAATTCAACAAAATTTCGATTTTCATAGATTTGAATTCAACAGACAGTCTAGTGTTTTACACAATCATATCAAACTGAACGCCGAAATTCAACAAAGTATTTCTAGTTTTGAATGAATCCATTACAATTACTATTTTTAAATTTTATTGATGCTCCAAAAATTCAAAACTAAACGGGTAATCAGCCCATATATCTATAGTCGTATGTAGTCTCTAAGCCATATTTAGTTTATTTATGAGATATTTATTGTTTACATTTAAGGATTGTGTGAATTTTGTAGATAATTCAGTGGCCTTAATAAATGTAGGTAAACCTTATTCCAAGATATTTTATTGCTTCCAACATCTGGCTGCTCTGTATAATGCCCTCATAAATCAACTTTTTCAATAGCAGGTAGTAGCCAAGACGATATCGTCTTTGTCTATACAGAGTTGACACAATCTCGAGTAGCGAAAAATATGAGCGTGACTGATTTTTATTTTCATATTAATTACAACCACTCGGTATGAATCGACTTTTTCTACAAACGTCAAAATATGACGCATTGATAACAATATGCGAAGTGGCACTTTTTTCAGTTTCCTACGTTACCATTTTACACCTTGCGCAAAACAATGCGCGAAGTAAATAGTTATTTATTATACAAGGGAAAAAAGTTGTAGATTTTAGCTCCAGGTTGTGTTTTCACAGAAAACCGTGAGCTAAAATCTAATATTTTTCCCGTGTATAATACACTATTTTTTTCTGTGACAGAAGAAAGGACGAATCAATATTAAGATAATTCTGTGATTTGATTTCAAAAATTTGCGAATTTAGTGGTTGTTTAGTAATATACGTAACCGCGAAGTCGAATGGAAGATAAAAGGACTTGCAGTTCTTTCTCGGAGACGGTATTATTGACTCATTTTTCGGAACTATAGCACAACAAAAACCATCAACAGTGTGTACTCACTTTTTTCCCACGGGAAAAAAGTAATTCATGAAAAGTGACATTTTATAAACTGCCAACAGAGATGAAATGTCAAACTTTTTTAGTCACAGAAAAAATAACATTATTGTAAACTATATTGGATTTTTGTTTTTTAACACGTTCTCGGACTGTGGGTGCTATAGTTGGACTCTCCCTGATGGATTCTCAGATATTCTCATGATTTTTCAATGCGTACTTCGACCACATCGACAAGGTTAGGTAATTTCATTGGGAACTGAAGTAAATAATAAAAAACAGTGCAGAAATTCTTATTAACGCGTCACCAATCATAGTGCGTGACGTGTTACGTGAAAAGCAAAAAAGCTGTATTGGGAAC